GACTGGTGCGGAGCTTTGGGCTTGAGTGCCACCAGTACGCTGATGACACTCAGCTCATTCTGAGGATGGAGGGCCGGCCGGACTCTGTACCCGAAAATTTCCATCAGTGCCTTGAGGCCGTGACTGGATGGTTGTGTGCCAGCAGGTTGAGGGTGAATCCAGCGAAGACGGAGATCCTTTGGCTGGGCCGTCCGGGTGGGAGGGAGATCCAGCTGCCTACCCTGGATGGCGAGACACTACGTCCGTCACCTTCTGTAAAAAGTCTTGGTGTCTTATTGGACCCTCTGCTCACAATGGAGGCCCAGGTCTCTGCTGTGAGCAGATCTGCGTTTTTCCATCTGTGTCAGGCTAGGCGACTGGCTCCCTACCTATCTAGGAACGACCTGGCTACGGTGATCCAGGCAACGGTCATCTCGAGGCTTGACTACTGTAACGCCCTCTACATTGTCCTTCCTTTGTCAGTGATCCGGAAACTGAAACTGGTGCAAAATGCGGCTGCTCGTCTTCTCGCCGGGGTGCCGGCAATGTGTCTTATCACCCCAATTCAACAGCTGCACTGGCAACCGATTGAGTACTGGATTACTTTCAAGGTGTTGGTATTAACCTTTAAGGCCTTATATGGTCTGGGGCCGGTGTACCTGAGGGCCCGCTTATCCCCCTACCTAACCCAGAGATTACTCCGGTCTGAAGACCCAAATTTGCTTGAAGTCCCCAACATCCGGACTTATCATCTGTCCTCTACTAGGCAGAGAGCCTTCTCGATCGTGGCCCCTTATTTATGGAATGCCTTGCCAGTTGAAACGCGAACTATCCGAGATCTACTTGCTTTTCAGAAAGCCTGTAAAACCTTTCTCTTCCGACAAGCTTTCGATGGGTGAATAACTCGGGGCTATGTCCGTCCTCGCTGCTTATTGTTATTTTAAAGCTAATTGTATTGTTTTAATCTGCTTCTGTAAACCGCTCCGAGCCAAATTGGGAGTAGCAGTATACAAGTTAAATACATAAATAAATAAAATTGGTGCCGGAAACGGCTTTTAAAACTTCACCCACAGAGGCACACGTGAGGCAGTTGTTGTGAACAACAAAACAATGGTGTTTATTTAAGAGAACTGGAACAATTCAGGTATCACGCTTAGCTGTTTCAAAATACTGACTTAAAAGCATGTGGTTACGCTAAACAGTTCAGACTTAGTTACACATGAAACACTTCTCTCTCCCTCCACAGAAATATTGACAGGATTTCCTCTCTGGCAGTAATTTCTAACCTCCTCCACACAGACAGTCCTTCTCCTTTGGGACCTGTCTCTCCACTCCCCAGCTATCCTTCCCAAAGAGCTGTAATCTTCTCACAGGCTATCTCTGCTAGCCAGCTGACCAATCCCAGGCCCCTCTCTCTAACCCTCTTCACCACTCCAAACTCCTAACACCTTCTCCCTTTGACACCCAGGTTCACTCTCCTTGACGGGGTTTCAAAACCTTTACCTTAAAGTCACTTTTTTTCTTTTGCCAAGTTAGGCTCTGCCCACTCTCACTCAGCCAATTACAGTCCTCCCTCATTTCCCTCCAAAACTGCTCTTTCTAAACACGCCCCCTTCAGGAAATGAGTAACTAAAATGGATTCCCCCGGCACCCTTTCCAAAATGGCTGCCCAACTTCCTGGGCCTTCTTTTCTAGGCGTTTCCTAGCCTAATTTATTTATTTATTTATTTATTTAATACACTTGTATACCGCTAATATCTCAGCCTAAGTCGGCGACTCATTGCGGTTTACAACAATTAAAAACAATATACAATTTAAAAACAACAACACATAGACAATACAAATTATTGGGCCACCAATAATAATACCATGCATCTCGTCAATAAAATCACAATCCAGAATTCGTCATCCATAATTAACCAGTCCTTAGTCAGCAAAATTCGGTGATAACAAACTAACCGAATGCTTGTTTACACAACCATGTTTTTAATCTCTTCCGAAACACCATCAGCGAAGAGGCTGATCGTATCTCTATAGGAAGGGTGTTCCAAAGCCGAGGGGCCACCACAGAAAAGGCCCTGTCTCTCGTTCCCACCAGCCGCACTTGGGAAGCCGGTGGGATAGAGAGCAGGGACTCTCCAGAAGATCTTAGGGTCCTGGTGGGCTGATAGGCTGAGATACGTTCGGATAGATAAGTTGGGCCAGAACCGTTTAGGGCTTTAAAGGCCAACGCCAGCACTTTGAATTGAGCCCGGTAGCATATCGGCAGCCAGTGGAGCTGGTTCAGCAGAGGAGTTGTATGCTCCCTGCGCCCCGCTCCGGTTAGTATCATGGCTGCCGCCCGTTGGACTAATTGGAGCTTCCAAGCCGTCTTCAAAGGCAACCCCACGTAGAGAGCGTTGCAGTAGTCAAGACGGGATGTAACCAGAGCGTGGACTACCGTGGCCAAGTCAGACTTCCCAAGGTACGGTCGCAGTTGGCGCACGAGTTTTAACTGTGCGAATGCTCCCTGGTCACCGCCGAAACCTGGGGTTCCAGGCTCAGCGATGAGTCCAGGATCACACCCAAGCTGCGAACCTGCGTCTTCAGGGGGAGTGCGACCCCATCCAACACAGGCTGTAACCCTATACCCTGTTCGGCCTTTCGACTAACCAGGAGTACCTCTGTCTTGTCTGGATTCAATTTCAATTTGTTCGCCCCCATCCAGACCGTCACAGCGGCCAAGCACCGGTTCAGGACCTCGACAGCCTCCTTAGTAGCGGGTGGAAAGGAGTGACAGAGTTGGACATCATCTGCGTACAGATGACATCGCACTCCGAAACTCCGGATGATCTCGCCCAGCGGCTTCATGTAGATGTTAAACAACATGGGAGACAATATTGAACCCTGAGGAACCCCACAAGACAAAGGTTGTGGGGTTGAACAGGAGTCTCCCAGTAACACCTTCTGAGACCGACCCTCAAGGAATGAGCGGAGCCACTGCAAAACAGTCCCTCCAAGACCCATCCCTGCGAGGCGTCCCAGAAGGATACCGTGGTCGACGGTATCGAAGGCCGCTGAGAGGTCCAGCAGCACCAACAGGGACACACTCCCCCTGTCGAGCTCCCGGCGCAGATCATCCACTAAGGCGACCAAGGCTGTCTCAGTACCATGCCCCGGCCTAAAGCCAGACTGTGCCGGATCCAGATAATCCGTGTCTACCAAGAATGCCTGGAGTTGTGAGGCCACCACACGTTCCATGACTTTGCCCAAAAAGGGGAGATTGGACAGAAAGGGAAGTCACTACATTCCTCCATCAACTTGTAAACCTTTGAACCCCTCTTGAAAATGGAAAACCTCAAGCCAATACTTTCAGAGACAGAATACTCCTCTTTGCTATTCATTCCATTATTATTATTATTATTATTATTATTATTATTATTCTGACACAAACACACAGCATGTCACAGCAAACGAGATCTGTATGCTGCATTTTGTATCACAGAATCAGAGGTTGAACACTTCCCGAGCGTTAAGGACTGTGGGATGTATTTTTGAATGACGCTTACAGATCCATTTCAGGAGGCCTTTTGCGGCTGACGGATCATGATTTTGTCAATGTTTATTGTTCTCAAATGCCGGCTCAGATCTTTTGGCACGGCGCCCAGTGTGCCGATCCCCACTGGGACCACCTGAACTGGTGGATGCCAGAGCCTCTGCAGTTCGATTTTGGGGTTCTGTCATTATTACTATTACGGTTGTTGTGTCTGTGAACCCAGATTCTGACTTCTAAAGAAACATTTAAGTTGCCAAACACTTTAAGTGATTTAGCAGCAAGTTATTTAATGTTATTTAAAGTTATTCAAGCTATTTCACATTAAGTTAACGTTTAAGTCATTAACACTATTCATTTAATTCATCCATAGGGCATTAGGGTTTTTCCCCACTCTAAAAATGAATTAATAATAATAATAATAATAATAATAATAATAATAAACAAAATACTAGTTCCGTAATATAGTATTTCCAAAAAGACAATTGAAGGAAAAAATAGTTTAAAACAAGCGAAATCAATATTTGGGGGGAAAAAAAGTGCAAGAAATGAGGATGGAAATATGACTGGAAATGAAGCCACAAAGCAAAAGAAAAGTAAAGAAATAAGAATGGGAGTAAGGATGATCAATAATAATAAACAAAATTGTCCATCTCAGGGAGTTCCCAGATAATAATAATAGTAATAATAATAATCAGATGGTGGGGCTGGGGATAGATTTTTTTCAGTGAATTTAGTCTTACCCAGCCAGCCTGGATTCTGCATTTTCAAATCACGTCTTGTGTTTTAATCTTTGCTCTATATATCAGAATATACATTTTATAGAATAATGCTGTAATATCTATATTTTAAAGAATGTTTTGGCCGATCGTGTGTTTTTAGCGGTGTCGTAACCTGCCTTGTGCCACGAGAGGCAGGGGAAAAATAAAACTGTTACTATTAATATTACCATCTTCATCAGCGTTCATGCAAACGACAGATATGGAAGGACAGTTGTCTAGAAATGCTGGGTTCAGACGTGCGGTCATGAAAACCAAAGTCCTACCCGAAATAGCAACAGATGATGATGATCAAAACTTGGTATATATATATATTGCTGAGCTCTCCCATATTCGTATATATTTAATAACTGTATATATTTAATAACTGAAGCATGAAAATCCAACCCGGAGCCACGCGACCAACCTAGAAGGGGAAAACCATATCCAAAAGGACCAGAGGTTTCCTATGAAACCCTCGCTCTGCCTGTCTTCCCAGTCTCTGATACTTTCAGCAAACACGCGTTTTATTAAAAACTGGAACATAGTAATGTATATACGTGTATGTATATGTACACGGTAAAACTGGGCAGCTCACAGAGTGACTGCCACAACTACAAAAATAAATCAGAAAACACACACCACGGAAACACTCCTATATAGATATACAAAGTCCACCAGAAAACGAGCAAACAGACCTGGGTCTAATTCTAAGAACCTGGCCCTTACATTAATTACTACAAAGTTGATATATTTCTAATTAAGAAAATAAAACCCCTTGTGATGAGCAAACCACATCGAGCGGCTATAGAGGAAACCACAAAAGAATTGTATATACAAAAAGAGTATATGAAACCTATCTCTATATATTATTATATTATACATATTGACAATCTTATATGGGATTGGTTTAATCTCTGGTTTCTTAAACTGAACTACCACGTCACGAAAGGATGCATGTCTAAAGAGTGTGTAACCAACACGAAAAGTTTGGAAAGTGGCATTTAGGTCAAATGCCACTATTGTCTCCAGTGAGAATCTATATATATGTAGGTCTGAACTCTCACAGAAGCTCTTTCAACACTCCATGCTTTCATGGGGCTTCTCCCCAGTGAGTCCTCTGATGTGAACGTAGATTTCCACTCTGAGTGAAGCTCTGTCCACACTCTAAGCATTTATAGGGTTTCTCCCCAGTGTGAGTTCTTTGATGGGAACGTAGATTTCCCTTCTGGGCGAAGCTCTGTCCACACTCCAGGCATTTATAGGGTTTCTTCCCACTGTGTGTCCTCTGATGTGTATGTAGATTTCCACTCTGAGTGAAGCTCTGTCCACATTCTAAGCATTTATAGGGTTTCTCCCCAGTGTGAGTCCTTTGATGGGAATGTAGATTTCCACTCTGAGTGAAGCTCTTTCCACACTCCAGGCATGTATGGAGTTTCTCCCCAGTGTGGATCCTTTGATGTTTACGTAGGTCTCCACCCTCAGTGAAAATCCGTCCACACTCCAGACATTTATAAGGTTTCTCCCCAGTGTGAGTTCTTTGATGTGAACGCAGGTTTTCATTGCGAGCAAAGCTCTTCCCACACTCCAAACATGTATAGGGTTTCTCCCCAATATGAGTCTTTTGATGTCTATGTAGACTTCCACTCTCAGTGAAACTCTGTCCACACTCCAGACATTTATAGGGTTTCTCTCCAGTGTGAGTCCTTTGATGTCTATGTAGATGTCCACTCTCAGTGAAACTCTGTCCACACTCCAGACATTTATAAGGTTTCTCGCCAGTGTGAATCCTTTGATGTCTATGTAGAAGTCCACTCTCAGTGAAGCTCTTTCCACACTCCATGCATTCATAGGGTTTCTCCCCAGTGTGAGTCCTTTGATGTGAACGTAGATTACTATGAGTGAAGATCTGTCCACACTCCAGGCATGTATAGGGTTTCTCCCCAGTGTGAGTCCTTTGATGTGAACGTAGACTTCCACTGTGAGTGTAGCTCTGTCCACATTCTAGGCACTTATAGGGTTTCTCTCCAGTGTGAATCCTTTGATGTGAACGTAGACTTCCACCCTCAGTGAAGCTCCATCCACACTCTAAGCATTTATAAGGTTTCTCCCCAGTGTGAGTTCTTTGATGTGAACGTAGGTTTTCACTGCGGGCAAAGTTCTTCCCACACTCCAAGCAGTTAAAGGGCTTCTCCCCGGTGTGAGTCCTTTGATGTATACGTAGACTTCCACTCTCAGTGAAACTCTGTCCACACTCCGGACATTTATAGGGTTTCTCTCCAGTGTGAATCCTTTGATGGGAACGTAGGTCTCCACTCTGAGTGAAGCTCTGTCCACACTCCAGGCATGTATAGGGTTTGTCTCCAGTGTGAGTTCTTTGATGTCTTTGTAGATGTCCCTATGAGAGAAGCTCTTTCCACACTCCAGGCATTTATAGGGTTTCTCTCCCATGTGAGTCCTTTCATGTTGCTGAAGATATTCCCTCCGACTGAAACTCTTTCCACACTCCAGGCATTGAGATGCTTTCTCCTTCATATTAACAGTGAGATGGGTGTTTGCAACACAGACACTTGACTCCTCCCATTTTCTTTTCGTGTCTGTAAGACAGGTCACAAATTCAGCAACGTCCTCACCTTGAGATGATTTCTTCATACATTCCTGGTTTCCTTCCTCTACCCAAGTGGTGGCTCCATAGAATCCTCATTTCCCTGGTCAAGAAAGAAGCAAAAGGTCAAGTGTTGGGGCCAAAAATGTGTAAAGTGAATTTCACAAATTAGAATGGGTTACTGAGGAATGTAAAGAGAAAAGAGCAAAGAGGAGCAGAAAGGACTGAAGGAACGTAGATAGGCAGTGGTTGTGGAGTGCCGGGAAAAGACATCTGGGTGAGAGGTAGAAAGAGATATCAAGTTGACCTGAAAAGATGGGAGTGGGAAGAAGATGTGAGCAGAATGGGAAGAAATGGCTTTCAGAATTGCGCAGAAAGAATAGTTATGCTTTGCTTTGGAACAAAGAGAACACAAGGGATTGTTGATAGAACAAAAGGGAAAACAAGAGGGTGTTTGTGAGCAGAAAGAGAGAGGCATTGGAGCAGAGGTGACAAGCTCTGAGGAGAAAAACGGGAAGGAAGGTTTCGATATCATGTGTATGCGTGTGCATCTCGCCATCTGATTGAGACTATAAGATCCATGATCGAGAGGCAGAGAAACATGGCACTTTTCTTGACGCTATCCTTGGCTCCTGACACCGACCCCCTTTCTGCCATCGCAGGGAAAGCACCACCCAAGCCTTCCTGGCAGATGGCCACCCAGCTTCATGGGCATGATGATCTGCCTATCTGTCCATATGGCCATCTGTCGGGAGGCGGCCCTATGGACTGACAGGCAGAGGATTTTATGTATTGCTTATGTATTGCTTGGCCTGGTGCGCCTATGGTAGCAGCTGGTGCACAAGTCTGAGTTGTGCTAAGGCCCTCCCGGCCACTGCCGACACCTGAGCATCAAGCGACAGCGTTGAGTCCAGGAGGACCCCCAAGCTATGTACCTGCACCTTCAGGGGGAGTGTAACCTCGTCAAGCACAGATTGCCACCCAAAACCCCAGTCAGCCCCGCGACTGACCAGGATGACCTCTGTCTTACCTGGATTAAGCTTCAACCTGTTAGCCCTCATCTAGTCCATCACAGCTGTCAGACAGTGGTTCAAGGTCTGGGAGGCTTCCTCGGAATACGGTGGAAATGAGTAGTAGAGTTGGGTGTCATCTGTGTACAGATGGCGCCCAATTCTAAACCTCCGGATAACCTCACCCAGTGGTTTCATGTAGATATTAAAAAGCATGGGGGATAGAATGGAACCTTGTGGGACCTCACAGGTCAAAGGCCATGGTCTGAGCAGGTATTCCCCAGCTTCACCAACTGGGAGTGACCCTCCGGGAAGGAGCGGAGCCACTGCAGAGCAATGCCCCCAAGACCCATTCCGGAGAGCCGCCCCAGAAGGATACCATGGTCGATGGTATCGAATGCCGCTGAGATGTCCAGGAGAACCAACCCCTGTCAAGCTCTCTTCGGTGGTCATCCACCAAGGCGACCAAAGCCATCTCAGTACCATGGCCAGGTCTAAAACTAAACTGCGATGGGTTTTTTAAAATATAATCTGGCCCTCCAACAGTTTGAGGGACTGTGACCTGGTCCTCTGTTCAAAAGATTTGAGGACCCCTGACTTAGGTGAAGGGTTAGAAGGCATGATCATCAAGTTTACAGGACATGTGAAAAAGATCTTGGAGTCCTCGTGGACAAGTTAAACATGAGCCAGGAATGTGATGTGGCGCCAAAAAAAAGCCAATGGGATTTTGGCCTGCATCAATGGGAGCATAGTGTCTAGATCTAGGGAAGTCCTGCTCCCCATGCT